TGACAGGCCAGGCAGGCAGGCATCGAGCAAGTGCCTCTCATCTGCTCACAGGGACACAGAGATCGATGACCTGAAGACGCAGCTGTCGCGCATGCAGGAGGACTGGATCGAGGAGGAGTGCCATCGCGTGGAGGCCCAGCTGGCCCTGAAGGAGGCCCGCAAGGAGATCAAACAGCTCAAGCAGGTCATCGACACGGTCAAGAACAACCTGATTGACAAGGACAAGGGGCTGCAGAAGTACTTTGTGGACATCAACATCCAGAACAAGAAGCTGGAGACGCTGCTGCACAGCATGGAGGTGGCCCAGAACGGCATGGCCAAGGAGGATGGCACCGGGGAGTCCGCCGGCGGGTCCCCCGCCCGCTCCCTCACCCGCAGCTCCACCTACACCAAGCTCAGCGACCCTGCTGTCTGCGGCGACCGCCAGCCTGGTGACCCCCCCAGCGCCTCCGCCGAGGATGGACCTGACAGTGGCTTTGTGGCCGCTGATGACATGCTGAGCCGGACGGATGCCCTGGAGGCCAGCAGCCTGCTCTCATCAGGGGTGGACTGCGGCCCCGAGGAGGCCTCGCTGCACAGCTTCAACCTGGGGCCCCGCTTCCCCGCCAGCAACACCTACGAGAAGCTTCTGTGTGGCATGGAGGCCGGCGTGCAGGTCAGCTGCCTGCAGGAGCGCGCCATCCAGACGGACTTTGCGCAGTACCAGCCCGACCTGGACGCCATCCTGGAGAAAGTGACCCAGGCCCAGGTCTGTGGGACAGTTCCCGAGGACAGGCACCGGGAGCCAGATCCCCACCCCTCAGGGCCCAGAGACCCCGATTCAGCAGTGGTGGTGACCGTGGGTGAGGAGCTCGAGGCCCCGGAGCCCATTACCCACGGGCCCACCCCGCACGGGCCTGCAGCCAACCCCAGCCCCAGCCTGTCAGTGAGCGTGGTGTGCCCCGTGGAGGAGGAGGAGGAGGCCGCCCCGGCCGAGAAGGAGCCCAAGAGCTACTGGAGCCGCCACTACATCGTGGATCTGCTGGCCGTGGTGGTGCCGGCCGTGCCCACGGTGGCCTGGCTCTGCCGCTCCCAGCGGCGCCAGGGCCAGCCCATCTACAACATCAGCTCCCTGCTGCGGGGCTGCTGCACGGTGGCCTTGCACTCCATCCGCAGAATCAGCTGCCGCTCGCTGAGCCAGCCGGGGCCCAGCTCGGCCAGCGGGGGCTCCCAGCTCTGAGGAGGCCTGTCCCCGCAGCACCCGGCCGCCTGACCACTGATTGTAGGGATGCCCTCCTCCCTCGCCTGTCCCCATGGGTATCATCTTATTTATTTAGTTTTGGGTTTGGAACCATTTTTTCCCCCAACATTACCAGGGTCCAGGAGAAGAGCTTGGGGGAGACACCCCAAGACTTCCTGAGAGAAAAAGGTAAGAGAGGCCAAAGACCAGGAGTGAGGGGCGCACTGAGTGGACAAACTGCAGAGAGAGAAGCTGGTGAGGGCCCCCTGTGTCCACCTGGCCCTTGAGACAGGGGGGGACCTGCTTAGGAAGTCTCTGGATCTCTCTGGGGAGGCTTCCCCCCTGCACCATCCTGTCCAGTGGCCTGCCCACTCCATGTCCTCTCTCCCAAGTCACCCCTTGCCCTGCGCCCAGGTTTCTGGGCCAATATTATCCCCTCAGATGGAGGCAGCCTTGGCCCAAAGTGCAGACAGCTGACCCACGGACTCGGGCAGGGTCTGGATCCCAGGCCTGGGCTGGAGCTCCAGCGCCCCCAGCCTGCCGGTCCCTTGGGATTCAGCAGCACCGTCGAGGCTGTGAGCCCGGAACAGACGGGCTGGGTTCTGCCGGGGGCAGAAGGCAGGGTGGGCTCTGTGTCTGTCTGTCCTCCCAGGCCCTCCCCACCATCCACTTTCCTCTTGGTGTTTCTGGGTGTGTCCGATCGTCCCTTTGTGAGAGAGCTAAGCCCCATCGGCTCGGTGCTGCTGGGTGGGGACCCTCACGAGTCCCATGGCGAGTATCCACCAGCAGGAAAGGCGTCAGGGGCAGGGCGGTCCAGGGAGCCCTCCACCTTCTGAGATGAGGCCATCTCATCTGCTGTCTGCGAGGCCTGACCGGACTCAGGAATCCTCGGCCAGTTTGAAAAGCCGGAGGCCCCCACGGCCCCTGGAGCTTGCCCGAGTTTCTCTGGGGGCCTCGGGCCCAACTTCTCCCTTGCACTACGTTCACTTTGGGGATTGGTTCTCCCTCATCCCAGGACCTCCAGAGAGGTGGCTGCTTTCTTTCCGGGGTGAGTGTCCTTGTGTCTTCAACCTATCTGCCTCGGAGGAGGGTGCAGATTCTGGCAGATCTCAAAACGGGGTCCAGAAGCCATGGGGTTTGTCCAGGCCACAGCAGGGACGTGTTTCCCGGGCAGGGGCATGGCAGAGGGGGTTGGAACTCTGCAGCCACCTTCCCCCTGCCCAAGCCCAAGCCCAGGCAGCCTGGGAAGCTCACTGTCCCCAACCCTTGCCTGGAATCCCGTGGGAGACCCCAGAAAGCCGGTGATGTTAATTGCCATGACTAGTTTACAAAGTCACATCCCTCTGGTCATCGGACCCACCTGCCAGACGTCAGGTCCCACATGGGGAGTTGGCGGGACCCTAGGTCTCACTCGGCCCTCTGGCCTAGGGGCCAGTCGGCTCCCTGCCAAGGTGGCTTGTCCTCACCCCACTGCCTGACTCACGGGCTCTGCCCTTCCGCTCTGTGCCCTCCCCGCGAGGGGGCACCTGCATGCCCTGGGAATGGGTAGCAGCCCAGCCATCGGGGCAGGAGCCCCCCCACGCGCTTTGTGCCTCCAAAGACCCCCACCTCGTTTGGGGCCTCAGGCCAGCCCTCCTTCGCGCAGCTCCCCCCCACCCCTCAGCTGAATGAAGCCCGAATGCCTGGGGCCTGCTGGGGCCGCCCCACAGGACACTGGGCTCGTGCCATGGAGGAGGCAGGGGACAAAAGCAATCCAAAGCCGAGCCAGGACTGGCCACGGACCCAGCCTCCCGAGCCGTGTCCTCACGGAGCTGCGTAGCGTCTCCCTAGGCACAGTCAAAGCTTTGCAGACAAAATAAATGTACGAACTCATCTGACGCCATAGAATCTACGTGTTTTCCACTGGAACTTAGTCGAGCTCTGTGCCCCTCTGCCCCTGTCCGCGTCTCGCTGTCTGTGGCCTTCCTCGTGTGTCTGTGTGTCGGTGGACGTGGGCAGGGCGCCTGGGGCTCTAGTCCACTCTGCCCTGCTGCTCGAGAAGCCGCTTGGAAAGCGCTGGGCAGTGGGTGGGCCTGAGGCCCGTGGAGCAGGGGATGGGGCTGGCGGTCACCTCGACTCCTGCTCTGGGCCAGACCTGCGTGGGTCCCGGGGTCCAGCCCATCGTGTTGGGTCCCCTCTGTGGGTCTGCTGGAGCCTTTCTCAGGCTTCTCTTCTTGCCAATGGAGAATGCAGCTCACTGCCCAGCCCTGGGACAGACCTGGGCCCGCATGGCTGGGGCCCCGGTCCAGCTCCTGGGCCTGTGTGAACTCAGTATCCTGCATCTATGCAAAGGGGCAGTGCTGCCCGTACAGTTCCCAGAGGTGGCCGAGCAGCAGCCTGCTGGCTCCAACTCCCGGCCCTGACTAGCGGGGCCCCGGACAAGGGCCTGGGAGGGCAAGGCTGGGGCCGGGGGCTGGGCCTCCCCAGAGCATTGATCCTCCAAAGCTCCCCTTTCCCTTCTGCTTGACCCTCCTCCTGTCGGGGTGTGGCCCTTCCTACCTGCACTTGGCTTCTGGAGTAGAAGTCGTCGGGACCCCTCTCCCAGCCTCTGGCTGGAGCCGATAAGTACTGAGGAACGACATCCCCAGGAACCACTGTCTAGAACTGTTGGTCCCTTGGAGCCCAGAGGCCAGAAGCAGCTTCTCCTTAGTTCAGGACCAGGGCAGCCCTGATGCCCCTCTGGTCACAGCTCAGGCAGGAAATGGGAGCTGGGGCCCGGGCTTCTGCACGGACAGCTGACCCTGAGCAGAGTTTATGACCAGTATCTCCCAAGGGAGTAATTAGACATTCACAGAGCACCTTCCCGGGCACCACTAGCTCAGGGGCATCTGGCAGCACTTTGGGGAGGGGGTGGGGCAACTTACAAAGTTCTAGGACAAACACCTGCCGCGGGGCCTCTACCCTGCGAACTCACGACTCCCTCTCTGACCTGGGGACAATGCCATCAGGTCACAGTGCACTCTTATATTATTAGACCATTGACGGAGAGTTCAGGGGGCGTGGGAAGCGGGAGGTGGGGAGGGTCCTGACTCTCGTCCCCTTTGTCCTTTGTTCAGAGTCCTACCTGCAGCAGACAGCTCTGATTAAAGCATGAGCACACAGCAAGACTCTCCGCCTGGTTTCTTTGTACAGTGTCATTTTCTAAGGGCGGGGGTTGGGGGAGGTCCGCACTGTCCTTCCCCAGCACAGAGGGAAGCAGAGGCTGTCGTTGGGCCACCACTGCCCACTCCACATCAGGGACACCCTCTCCGCCCGCCCCACCAGGTGTGGACACTGAGTGCCTTGCATTTCTTCCTCCCCAACAGCCCTGAAGTGGCTTCTCATGCCCACTTTGCAGATGCAGAAGCAGCCACGGTCACCCACAGCTCAAAGCCAAGGCCACGCTCTGTCCACCAGCCCTGCCACCACACAGCCCCCTAGATCCAGCCATCCCTGTGCCAGACTAGCTGGCAGTACATGGCGGAGGCAGGGCCAAGTCACCCCTCTCAGAGGGGATGCATAGAAAGGCCTGAGTGTCACCACTGTTTCAAAGAAAACCAGCCCTGGCGCATCACGGGAATTCCCAATGACCTTTGAGGAAGGGATTGTGTTTCCAATCAAATCTTTATTCAAAAGACAGTCAAGGGTCGTAACTGACGATCTGTGCTCAGTCTGCAGCAAAAAGCAAGGAAAGGCGAAGGTGAGATTCTCACGAAGAATGTGGTTCTGTCTCTCAAACTGCGGGGCTGTTTCCCTGGCAGAGGCAAAGTCCAAGGACTCAGCTACAACTCTAAGAGTCGTCTGGCTGGCCCGTCCACGTGCCCAACATGTAAATAAGTGCAGAGAATGGGCTGCATTGGGTACTGCTGGGGCTGTGGCCCGGTTAGGAGGGAGACTCCCAGAGACCTCCGTGCATGAGTGACAGACTCACGCCATCCAGTGCCACCCACCTGAAACATGCTCCCCTCAAGACCCCACCCCAGGAGGCAGCCAGCTGCAACCTGTCATCCAAGAGGTCACTGCCCTTTCCTGCAGGAGGGTGGGATGGCTGAGCTGCCCTCCTGCGGCTTCAGACATCTGGGATGGAGTGGTCCATGGTGTGGTGGAGAAGCGTCGGGGACAACCTAGACAGTGGCAATGGTGACAGTGGTGGACACTGGAAGCTCCTTCTCCCTGCCCAGCCCCAAGCCTGTGTACCCCAGGGGGGCATTCACCCCTGTTCTAAAACTTTTAGGTCCCCAGAACCCACCAGCCACCTTGGAGAGAGGGGAAGAGAGAGGAGGAGGGGCAAGCCGGGCCTGCCCCCTGGGTCAGCCTTGGAAAAGCCAGGGTGGCTCAGCAGGTGGCCTCGGGGGGCGGGGGGACGAGGAGGGCGCTCCTTACTTTTTGACCATGTGCTCGTAGATCACAGTGGGAATGAGGGTCAGGGTGATGACGTTTCCCGCTGAGGCCAGAATCTCCATGATTGCTTTGTCCTGGACAGGAGGTGAGTGAATGGTCACCCTGAGGGCCGGGGACAGAGATACTGCCACAGGCCACTGACGCCCAACTGCAGGGGCCAGGCCGCCTGGGCCCCTGAGCCTGCCTGGCAAGGGTTAGGCACAGTCTGGCTTGAGCAAGGACGTGGGCCTCCCATCTGAGGATCTCCAGGGTCAAAGGAGCATGCAGTCCCCTCCCCTGCCTGTGAAGGCCAGCTGCGTGGGCCTGGCACACAACACGGCCTCACAGATGGAGCCTCCTTCCCCTTGCGAGGGCCCACATTGCCACCCCATCTTCCTGGCCCCAGTCACACTGGGGTTTGGGTTCTAAAGCCCAGAAAGAAGAACCCTGTGGTGGGAGACAGTAAGCACACCTGACCCCTGCTCGTTTGGCCAGACAGGCCAGGTGGGTGCTGTCCCCTACATCTCCGACCATGAGGAGGACAAACCTGAAGTCTCTGAGCAGCCTGTGCCCGGCAGCCCAACACAACAGCCGGGGCCATCGGGGCCTCTGGCCCGGACCCAGGGCCTGGTGACTGTTACTTTGCACATCTGTCCCTGGCTGTGTTTTCTTAGTTGTTCCAGAATAAATGGGAGCGAATGTGCCAGGTCAGAGTAGTGACAGCCACAGAGTGAAATAAACTTCAGAGAGACCAGTGAAGAATCGAGCTATCTAGAGTCTCCCTAAGAGCCGCACAGAGCCGTGGCCTGGCACAATGACTGATAAACTCACGACCATGCCCTGAGCCATCCATGCAGATGATGTCAGAATCCCATCTTAGCAGGACTGCTTTCCAGAAGAGTTAGGATGGAAGAACTGTAATGCTCTCAAAGGAGGAGTTCACTAATATCCGGGCTCTCCAGCTACTCAGAATCCATATTACTATACTCAACTTTTTAAGCACTTTTTAGTTGTCATGTCTGAGAAAAGGGAGATGATGTAGCAGGAGGGATACTGGATAGATATTAGGAAGAACTTCCTGACCACAACAGTCACTAAGAACAAACTCTAAGGAAGGTGGGCGAGACTGTCAGGCATAAGGAAGCAGACATGTGACAGGAATGGCTTGTGTCAGCTGCGGAGTGAGATGCCACTACCCAGACCACTTCTGCTGGGAGGAGCCCTGCCCCACAAGTGCCAAAGCACTGGACATGGACAGGAGGGGGGCGCTCCCTCTATATCACAACTGGGTTTGAGAGCCACTCTGAGTCCAAGTGGCATCAAGTCAGGATAAAGGCACTTTCACTTGTTCAGGACCATATGACTCATCATCCTCGGTCCATTCCCCCAAGACACCCCCATTCCAGATGCACAGCGCCCACCCCTCCTTGCACCTTCTGGATTTTCAAAGGTGAAACTCACCACCACCCTTGAAAAAGAAACAAAGATCAGAAGTGATCAACATGGAACCAGGAGCTCCATGTAGAGGAAGAGGTGTCCATGCAGCGGGCACCTTGGGGTGCCCTGTCCTCACATGCATTGCCACGCCCCTCTGCCCTCAGCGCCCCGGGGTTAGTCACAGTAGCTAGTACTTACTGAGCACTGCGCTGTGCCTGGTGCCCTGCAGAGCTCTAGGCAAACACAGGGTCTTACTGAAACCTTGGGAGGAGGAAGCTGCATGGGGGTTGGGGGCCTGCAGCCTGTCCAGATACCAGCCTTCCCAACCAGCCAGCTCCCCCATGCCCACGGAGACCGGCCACCGCCTACCTTCAGTCCGATGACGTTCTGCCCGTTCACCTCGCACACATAGTGGTTGGTGAGGAGCCCGTTGCGGGCCGCAGAGCTCCCTTTGACCACAGAGACCACCTTCCCCTTCTTGATGAAGAAGCCCACGTGGCCCAAGCTGTCCTTGTGCATGGTGACCGTCCGCTGGAATGGTCTGGCAGAGAGGGAGAGTGAGCTGGGCCCCGGGGACGTGGCTGGAACTAGGCAGAGGGGCTCTGGGACTCTGGCTGCTCACCTGTCCCTAATGACCATGACGATCTTCTCCGGCGAGGCCTTCTTCAGCGCCCGGTGGGCCTTTTCTGTGCTCCACCCAGCGCAGTCCCGCCCATCGATCTGCAGGATCTGGTCCCCGAAGCGCAGCCCCACAAGGGAGGCGGGGGTGTTGGCCTGGACCAGCTGCACGAAGAGCCCCTGGGGAAGGTGGCCTAGAGTCAGCCCCTGCCGCCCTGAGCCCGGGAGCCTACCCGGCACGGGGCCACGACCCTCCGGGGCAGGTAACACGGTTACCCCATCTTCCTGGGGAGGAAGCAGGGCAGGCCACACAGCAGGGGGAAGCTGGGTCAGGATTTGAACCCCGGCCAGAGGCTGCACGGCGACCCCTCCAGTGCACCGCCCCTCCAGAGGCATAGGGTTTCTCAGCTTTCACTGTCTGCGGGCAGTTGCCAGGAAGCCGATCCCTGGGTGGTGGGGTGCACGGGGGCGGGGGGCATGGCTCCCCAGGGAGCCACGGACCAACGGGAGCCCAGAAGGGGTGGAGGGTCCCTGCCGCAACCTAGCCCAGCCCCGGGGCCTTGGGTCAGGATGCCCCATCTGCCCCCTCCTCACTGGTGCCCTCTCGGGGTGGCGCGCTTTCCCGACAGGGCGCGTGTCCCCAGCCGCCGCGCCTACCTTGTCGATGGCCCGCAGCCGCAGCCCGGTCTTGCCGCGCTCGTCCTTGCACAGGTGGATCTCGCGCACCCCGGGCTTGATCTCCGCGCGCTTCACGCCTAGGTTGTTCCCGGACACCGGTGCCACCACCTGGCCAGGCAAGAGACTGGAGATCGCCTCCTGCAGCCATCAGGGGAACACGGAGTCAGGCCATCTCCAGGAGCTGAGGGCCTCAGGGGTCACTGGGCTGGCGGGTAGGAAAGAGCAAAGGAGGACCCAGCAGTCCCTGGGAGCCCAGATCCACCCCAGATCACTGGGAGGCGCCGTGGCTCCAGGAAGCCACTAGAGGGCATCAAAGCCCATGTCCCTAAAAATGGGCTGAGAAAGGGTGGTGGGGCCCCAGGGAAGGGAGGGGGGCGCGTTTTCCAAGGCAACTTGATATCAGGAAGAGATCCCTTCAAATTCACTTAAAATAGAAAAATAATATGGTAAATAGTGAGCAGTGGCGGATGAAGGAACTCACTATAATTCTCGTTCTTAAAAAAAATGAACCCCAAAATATAAAGATTAACAAATGCTTCCTCATAAAGTGCAGAACAAGGCAAAGATGTCTCTTCTCACTCATCTACTGAACAAAGTACTGGAAGAGCTAACCAGCGCAATAAGGCAAGAAAAAAAGAGAATAAAAGGCATACAGACCAGAAAGAAGGAATCTAACTGTTCTTATTCATTGATGACATCACAGTCTACTAGGAAATCCCAAGAATCTACAAGTAAACTCCTACATCCAACAAATTAGCTCAGCCAGGTCATAAGATACAAGTCAACGTGAGAAAATCAATGCTTCGAGCCACAGGTACAGAGAATTGGGCTTGTTAGTCCCAGCTACTGCAGAGGCTGAAGCGGGAGGATTCCGTGAACCCAGGAGTTCTGTGCCTGCCTGGGCTGACAGCAGGACCTAGTCTCAAAATATGTATGTACTTCTGTATATTAACAAGTACAAGTAGAAACTTAAATTAAAAATAAAATATCACTTATAATAATTTGAAATAGGGGAGATATTTAGGCATAAGTCTAACAAAACATGTACCGAAACTGTAACAAAACAACCTAACACTGATAAGTGGTCAAAGAAAACCTAAAAAAATAGAAGAGTATCCATGGGTTAAAAACTAGTACAGTTGTCAACTTTACCCAAATTGATATACAAATATAATACAATTTCCAACAAAATGTATATAAATATTTTGTAGATACAGGTGCACTGTATAAAAGCTCAAAGTCCACTGTGCCCAGTGCACTTTGAGCATTTATAACAAGAAGAAAGAGGAGAAAGGAAGGGAAAAGTGAGGAGGGAAAAGTGCAAGCTGGGTGCAGCAGTACACGCCTGTAATCTCAGCAACTCAGGAGGCTCAGGCAGGAGGACTGCAAGTTTGAGGCCAGCCTGGGCAATTTAGTGAGGCCCTAAGCAACTTCGCAAAATCCTCAAAAATAAATAAGAAGAAAATAAAATATGTCTATACAAAACCTATACATGAACAGCTTTGTTTGTAATAATCAAAAACTGGAACAACTAAAATGTATTTCAACAGGTTAAACAAACACTGTTACGTTGCATGGCAGAATATTTCAGCAATGAAAAGGAGTAAACTGCTGGGCATGACAGTGTACATCTCTAATCCCAGTGACTCAGGAGGCTGAGGCAGGAGGATTCCAAGTTCAAGGCCAGCCTCAACAATTTAGTGAGGCTATGCAAGACCCTGTCTCACAATTAAAAAAATAAAAAGTGGGGGTGTGGCTAGATGGTAAAATACTCCTGGATTCAATCCCTAGTATCAAAAATAAGTAAATAAATAAACACATAGATAGATAAATGATGTGAACTACTGAACATATGATGACTGGCATGGACATCAAAGACATATTGAGTAAAAAAAAAAAGCCAATCTTGCCAGGTGCGGTGATGCACACCTGTTAATCCCAGAGGCTCAGGAGGCTGAGGCAGGAGGATCACGAGTTCAAAGCCAGCCTCAGCAAAAGTGAGGCAGTAAGCAACTCAGTGAGACCCTGACTCTAAATGAAATACAAAATTGGGCTGGGGATGTGACTCAGTGGTTGAGTGTCCCTGAGTTCAATCCCCGGTACTAAAAAAAAAAAAAAAAGCCAATCTCAGAAAGTCACATTATAGTATGCAATATTTCAAAGTGACAAAATTATACAGATGGAAAAATAAACTAGTGGTTGGGGAGGGTGTGGAGGTGGGAGTGAGCAAGATTCCAAAGCAGCAGCAGGGGCGAGACTCTGGGGCTGAAGTGGTTCATCCTTGACTGTGCTGTGGTTCCTTGTATTTAAACATGTGACAAAATGACACAGACCTGCAGGCACCAGAGTCAAACTCCTGGTTTTGAGGTAGGGCTATGGTTATGTAAATCAGAACCAGTGAGTGGGGGTGCTGCTCAGTGGTAGGGCACTGGCCAGCATGCGTGAGAGCCTGGGTTTGATCCCCTGTACTGCAAAAAAACAAAAAGATCAACAAAACATAACCAGTGAAGAAACTGGGTGAAATATACTTCTCTATACTATATTTGCAACTGCCTGTGAACCTATTATTTATTTTTTACTTAACCACTGAACCATAACCCCAGACCTTTTATTTTATTTTTTTTTTATTTTTACTTTTTTTATTTTGAGGCAGAGTCTCACTAAATTGCTTAGGGCCTCACTAAGTGCAAACATTGGCCTCAAACTTTCGATCCTCCTGCTTAGCCCTCCCAACCTGCTGGGATTACAGGCATGTGCCACCTTGCCTGACTTAAACCTACTATTTAAAAATGAAAAGTTTGGGGATGGAATGCAGCTCAGTGGTGGGGCACTTTCCTACCATGTGGGAGCCCCAGGTTCAATGCCTAGCATCACAAAAAATGATAAGTAGGTAAAATAAAAAGTAAAACGCAATGCAAGAGCCTTCAATTACAAAAATACATCTTATCCTCTTATATTATTATGACCTAGACTGAATGCATTTATGTCCTAATTACCCAACATGACCTTCTTTGCTTCCTGGTTGTATTTCACAGCATGACTACCAAGAAGGTCATTTAGGAGAAGGACCGTAGGGTGTCACCAGTTTTCCCCAGGGTCCCAACATGTCCTCATCCTTAATGATTTCCTCCTGTCAAATCCTCACTCATCCGTGGGTTTGCATATGACTACTGTCACTTCCATCAGCTTCATGAAACCCTGCAGCCTTGGCAAGAGGTGAAATGGTTCTCTGCAATCAATTGCATTGGCTTAGGAAGAAGCTAGACAATGGGGACATTGACAGATGGGTCACAGGATGCCAGAGCTGATTGCAAGGGGTCCTATCAGTGAATGTGTTTTCAGGAGCATTTCTGGTGACAGTTTGGTTTGCTCTCTGAAACCATGAAAAGCAGGAATCAAGTATTGTTGGACTTGGGGAGCACATCGGGGTGTGAGCACCTGCCATTGTTGCTGAGTCACAGGTGGCCCCAGCATTAGATGTCCCAGGCTCCTACTGGCTCTAATGTCTTTTCTTTGCATCCAGCTGGGTGAGACCAGCAGCCTGAAGCCACAGGTCAAGGGGCAGGGAAGACATGAAGCCCCAGAATGCTTCCCATGAAGGCTCAAAATGAAAAATGCCGCTAAGAAACAGAGCCATAAATAAGAACCCAGCCGAGAAAGGAGACTCAAACACAGAGAAAAGGCGAGACCAGGGGGAAGGGGGCTCGGGACGTTCTGAGCCGCAGCTGGACAGGAGACAGACACTCACACAGTCGCCCTCTGGCATCTGGGGCAGGCTCTGCTGGACTTCTCGGCTGGAGAGGGAAAGACCCATGTAGCTCTCCAATTCCGCCAGGTTTGGGTACAAAACTGATGGGAGAGGAGGAAGAAAGGTCACCCAAGAGCATGTGCTCTGCCACCTCTGCCTGGCCATCCATTCTTAGTAAAAAATGGAACCTGGGGATACTGTTTATTCCCTGTGCTGAGCCCTGGGACGCTTGCTGCTGATGCGGACTGGCTCAGAGGATGAGCTGCGCGTGGGGAAGGGAGCCTGCCTTTGTCCTGGAGCAGCCTGGGGCACAGGGGCCCTTGTGGACCACTCTGGAATTCGACTCCACTGACTCTGGCACCAGCCAAACACCAGCCAGCTGGGGTCCACAGTCATGGAGGAAGGACTCTGAGCCCAGGACAACCCCCAGAAAACCTGCACAAGGTGGAGGGCAAGATGGAGCTTGAGTCCAAGTTTCTATTACAGAACTGACTCAAAATGCAGGAGCACCTCCAGAGGGCACCATGAACATCTGGTGTCCCCAGGCCTCCTCCCGTGGTGGCCCTCACTAAACCAGTCTGCCAGTGTCCCCTCCAAGGGTTCTGGAGAGAGCAAAATGTGCATAAAGCCCTCACATAATAGAAGGCAAGAAGAAATCCTGGGTTCAGAAGTGGCCAGAAATGTGAGGCTGGGTTCTCAAGGTCAAGACTACCCAGAGACCCAGGCAAGCAGGACCTGCCCCGTCCTGGGAGCAGAATCCTCCATGTCCTTTCTGGTGATGAGGACCCACGGGGACCAGTAGTGCCAGCTGGGGGTGTTAGGTGTGAACATTTGTGTCAGGCTCACTCACCTGAGGGTGGGGACACAGCTGTCTCCTGGGCAGGCAGGGCGGCCATCCTGGGCAAGGCTCTGGCCTGGGCCTGGGCAGGGGCAAGGAGTACCGTCAGCTATGGCCAGGACCCCGGGATCCTCAGAACCTGGGGCTCCCTGAGCAGGGGAGTCTGGGAATTGGGTACATATGTGGGCCTGGGATGGGGGTGCCCTGGAGCTCTCCAGGCTCTGTGGCCTACAGGTGGCTTCTACGCTCTGTTAATTAGTGGGGCCCAGAAAGACCAATACCACAAGTTCTCACTCCCACATTCAATTTCAAAGAAGTAGAGAATAGAAGTGTAGTTCCTAGGGCCCAGGGAAGGGTGTGGGGCAGGGAGAGGGTTGGAGAGAGGATTGTTAAAGGGTGCAGGGGTGCAGCGGGACAGGAGGAATACATTCGAATGTTCTACAGCATAGTCAGGAAACTAGGGTTGAGAGCAATGGATCAAATATTTAAAAATAGCAAGTAGAGAGGGTTGTAAGTGTTCCCAACACAAAGAATGATAAATGTCTGGAGTGATACATGTGCGAGCCGCCCTTATCGGACTGTTACAGTGTAGACGTAGTGAAATGTTACGCTGTGCCCCATAAATAGCTACAGTTACGATGTATTAATTAAAATAAAAAACAGATTTTTTTTTTCTTTTCAAAAAAGTGGCCTCTGTAGATGGACATCTTTGTGAGAGGAGGTTCTCCTGGGGCCAATGACCCACCAAATGTCACCATCCATTTTTTGCCTGTGGCAGCCAGGACACCAAAGCCAACCTCCTGAACAAGTTCTCAGTGGGAAAGGCCCAAATTCTCAAAGTCCTCTGGGACCCCAGGGCAGTGGGATGGAGGGAGGAAGAAGCTGGACACACCAAGGCCACACCCTCTGGGTTTCCTGTGGAGCTGGCCCTGGCACCACAGGGTCCACCTGTAGCAGGAAGTGTGGGGACAGAGCTGGGCCTGAAAGGCATGTTGGTGGCTCCTTGGTCCTTCCCACTCCTGCTGTGGCTCCGCTGGCCCTGGCTCTAGATGCCTTCCCTGCCCAGCCCCTGCAGTGGGACTTGCAGGCCACAGGAACTCCCAGGAGTGACCAAGGTCCACAGCACCCAGCGCCTTCCAGGAAAGCCTCCCTTAGTTACCCGGGGGTCACCCCCAAGGCCTCAGCCAAGGAACCCAGGCTAATGGGGCCTGATGGCTTACCTGGATGACTTGGTCCACCTTCAGGTCCTCCAGAGATGGGTACAGGGTGGACATGGCTACTCCCTGGGACACCCTGCAGAGAGCAGAGAGTGAGGGGCTGAGGATGCATCTCCCATCATCCTGAGGAGAGGCGCAGACATCAGGCTTCTGCCCCATATGCCACTCAGCACTCCCGGATATGAGAAAATCATCAGGGGGTGTTATTATCCCTGTTTTAGAAATGGGGAGACTGGCTGGGCATAGTGGTACATGCCTGGGGAGGCTGAGGAAAATTGCAAGTTCAAGGCCAGCCTCAGCAATTTAGCAAGACTCAGCAATTTGGAGAGACCTATCTCAAAATTAAAAATTAAAAATATCTGGGCCTGGGGTGGTGGCTCAATGGTAGAGTGCTCGCCTAGCAGGCACAAGGCACTGGGTTCGATCTTCAGCACCACATAAATGTAAAATAAAGATATTCTGTCCACCTAAAACTTAAGAATAAGTATTAAAAAGTATCAGGGGATATAGAGAGGTAAAAGGTCAGGGGATATAAAGTACCCCTGAGTGTAATGCCCAGGAGAAGGGGGAGGGGAGAGAAGAAAGAAATGGGAGGGCTAGGTATTGAGCCAGTCTGACTCCAAAGCTCATGATCTCCACACACATCCAACCAGGTTTGGCTTAGAACCCAGGCCCAGGGGACCAGCCAGGATATGCTATGGAGGAAAGGCAGAATCATGAACCACATTCTCCCCTGCCATCTGTCAAAGGTCAGATCACTCAAGATCTAAATCTAACCCAGCAGGCAGATATAAAAGACCTGGTGTATACCAGGTCTAGGTTAGGGGTATGCACAGAACTATCTCACAACTACAAATGGCAAAGGCAGCAGGGCATTCCAAGTCCCTGCATCCCCCACCTTCCACACACCTCTGGATATTTGAGCTCCACTATATACCACTGATTTCCAGACACCCTGGCAACTTCTGATCTTAGCTAAAATGAAGTAAGATCCTTCAAAATTCATTAAAAACATGCACATGGGATCTGGGAGTGTAGTCTAGTAGCATATAACACTTGCTTAGCCTTTGTGAGGCCCTGGGTTCCATCTCCAGAAAAACACACACACACACACACACACACACACACACACACACACCCCTAACATATACACACAAACAGGCAAAATTCAGTTGGACAGAGCTTGGTCCACAAAGGGAGACTGGGGTGGTGGGCCACTGTGAACACTTGCTAACAGCTTCTGATTGTCCCAGAGGAGACTCAGTGAAGCCCCTAAGCAAGGTGCCCAGAGAAATTCAAAGGAACCTGTCATGAGCCATCCATGGGCTGTGTGTGTGAGCTATGCGCATTTGAGCCCCATGAGGGGACTAGCCTGAAGTTGCCGCCTGATTGGGCTGTGCGTATGTGTGCCTTTTCTCTCCCTCTGCCCGTGATCCCACACAGCACCTGAGATGGTGTGGCTTTCCAAGATGTCAAGCAACCTGGGGATCACAAGACATCACCAAGCAAGACTCCACCCTTTGAAACCAAATCCATTGCCTTATTTGGGTGGAATAGTCTATGAATGGCTTTTCCTCCGTAAATAGGGGGGGTTTCCGGTGTGCCCTCTCTCTCTTGCCTCCCTTGCTCACCTTGCCTTCCTGCACGGGAGCTGACACCTGAGGGCTCAGAGCTGTCCCTGACCCCCAAAAAGGTATTTCTGTGTTTGTGTGTTTTTTAATTGCCAGCCCGGCCAGTGGTGACAGGAGTCACAGCCTTTTGAGAAATGCTTTGTCTCCTTCCTAGATAAAATGCAGGAAGGGAATCTTTATTGGTCTTTCTGGACTCTTCCCCTTGACCCACTCATCCCTGGCTCTGGCACACCTCCACCTCCACCTCCACCCCAGCTCGTGACCTGCCCCACCCCCTGATCACCCTTAATCCTGCAGAAAGGTGTTCCTGGTAGAAAGGTCATTGTCCCTCTTACCCTGGGCCTGCCCTTAGGGACAGGCTCTGGCCAGCCTCCCACCCTGAACTTTTCAACTGTCCTCAGTCTGTTTTCCCAGGGGGACGGCAGGTTCTCAGGGTCAAGGTATGTCCTATTGCCTACATGTGACAGGTGCATGTGATAAAGGAAGGCCTGATGGTGGCACAGGGGACTGACTGGGCTGTGCCAAGGAAAATGTGACTCTGGCCTGCTCCTAGGGATCAGTTCCTTTGGGCACTTCCCTTAGTGATCCATGGGCACCAAGAACATCCTCACGTATCAATGTTCCTTCCCACAGTGCACATGCTGCCCCACCCCGTCATCCCTGACCCCCATCCCCCACCCTTCCAGTCTGTATCAAGTCCCCTCCCCCACACGTTGTGTTGTGCAAACCTCCTTCATCTCTCCGTCCCTCCCCAGGGCCACAACATCCTCCAACGAGTCTTTACCTCCCCCCTGTCGATGTTCCCAGAGGGCAGCTCAGGTGTTGTGGCCCTGCGTAGTGTCCCTAGGTGGCATGCCACTGCCCTCAGAATGTGACCTTTGTTTCCTAAAATGGCCCACAGGGACTTCCTGATTCCTCCGGAGATTGGAATGGGTGCCCCATGAGCCCGCTGTAAACAGATTGTAGAGTATGTAACGAACCTTGCAGAGTATGTAACATTCAAATCAGTGGCCTAAATGCAAAACTCAAGACCCTGCATTTATAATCTGTATTTCCCACTGCTCCTAAAAACAAACAAACAAAACCAGGAAGCTTCGTTGCTCCTGGACTGCATCTGAGTAGCTATCTATGGTGGAGAAGCAGCAGACTCCAGGGCACCTCAGGCCCCACCACTCTGTATTGTCCCTTACACCCAAGCCACTGTACTAGACAGCATCAAGACCCAGGGGACATCTGTTGGCAACAGTGGCCTCACTCTCCGGCTTCTTTTCTTGCCACGCATCCTCCCAGTTCCTTCATTCAGTCCCAGTTGTGATAGACTAGTTTCAGATATTTGAATGAATGTTATTGTCCCTTGTCTCCAGGCCTTTCTGTGTGTCATTCCTTCTATCTGGAATGACCCATCGGCCTCGTCATCTTGCCTGACTAGATCCTAATAATTTTCAAGTCCAAGATCAAGGGACCCTTTTGCAGGAAGCCCACCTTGATTTGTGCTCCTGGTAGCTACTGCCCCATGTCCTTACTCCTGTTGGTCATTCACTGCTCCCGTGGTCACCTCTTTTCCTGTCCAATTGCCTCATTAAATTGGGAGTCCCAAGAGGCAGCAACTGGGCCTTTTCACTCATGGCCGAGCTTCTAGCCCCTAGCATGGAGACGAATGCAATAACATTGCCTAAGCTTAGGAACCAACTTCCTCAACAAGACTCCTATAATTGCAAGAAGTAAAATCAAGAATCAATAAATGGGATGGAATCAAACTAGAGAGCTTCTTCACAGCAAGGGGAACAATGTGAAGAGAGAGCCTACCCCCCACCCCACCCACTCCTGTAGTTCAAGTCTCTTCCCCAGAGGCCAACACTGGGAAGAGTCCCCAGGATTCCCTTGTGATTCTGGTCAAGGCATAAAGCGAGATTAGATATGCAGATTCACAACCCCTCTCTGTCTCTTTTTATAAGAGGTAATTATTAACATTATTCCTCTATTAAGAGTAGTATTTTAGGGGCTGGGGAATACAGCTCAGTGGTAGAGGGATTGGCTAGTGTGCAAGAGGGGCTGGTTCAATCCCCAGCACCACGATAAAATAAAGTAAAATAAAAAAAGAAGTTATTTCAAGTCATCTCATATTAGACAAGGCGCCATAAACATATATTGGAGAAAAGATCTCCTTTCCAACAAATGGTGCTGGGAAAACTGGAAATCCATATGTAGCAAGATGAAATTAGACACCTATCTCTCACCCTGCACAAAACTCAACTCTAAGTGTCAAGGACTTTGGCATTATACCAGAGACCCTGTGTCTACCAGAAGAAAAACTAAGTCCAGATCTCCATCACGTCCATTTAGGAACAGACTTCCTCAATAAGACTCCTAAAATGCAAGAAGTAAAATAAAGAATCAATAAATGGGATGGAATCAAATTAAAAAGCTTCTTCATAGCAAAGGAAACAATCACGAATGTGAAGAGAAGCCTACAGAATGGGAGAAAATCTTTGCCACCTGCACCCCAGATAGAACATTAATCTCCAGAATATATAAAAAATTCAAAAAACTTAACACCCCCCCAAATAACCAATCAATAAATGGTCAAATGAACAGGCACTTCACAGAAGAAGAAATACAACCAGTCAACAAATATATGAAAAAAATGTTCAACATCCTTAGCAATTAAAGAAATGCAAATTAAAACTACTGAGATTCCATTTCACTGCAGTCAGAATGGCCATTATCCAGAATACAAGTAACAATAAATGTTGGTGAGGATTTAGGGAAAAGGCACACTCATACATTGCTGGTAGGACTGAAAATTGGTGCAGCCACTCTGGAAAGCAGTATGGAGCTTCCTCAGAAAACTTAGAACGGAACCACCATTTGACCCAGCTATCCTACTCTTTGGTATACACCCAAAGGACTTAAAATCAGCACACTACAGTGATTTAGCCATATCAATGTTTATAGCAGCTCAATTTCAATTCACAATAGCTAAGCTATGGAACCAAACTAGGTGCTCTTCTGTGGGACACTAACCTTGCTCTTCTGGGGTTTGAGTGACTGTGTCTTCATGCCCGGGCTGTATCTTCCTACAGTCCCATGGGTGGAGCTATGCTCACCTGTTCCTTTGTAATATAACCCCTTGCCCTGTTTAGAATGTTCCATGGAAGTGCCTTGTGTGTGTCCCCTTCTCTTACTGTGCCCTTGAATGTGGCCTACCTAAATGTCAGTCAATCTGCTGACAGTGGACATCATGAAGATAGACTCAGCCCCCTGAAACCTGATCCCTTGCCTCATTTGAATAGCTTCTCCTCAATAAAAGGGGTCAGCATGCTCGCTCTCTCTCTCTCTCTCTCTCTCTCTCTCTCTTCCTGTGGACCCTTAAGGTCAGAGGAGCCATCACAGCGACCCCAAAGAAAAAGGTATTTGTGTCTCTTGTGTGGTT